TTCCTAGCCTGGATTGGGGGGGGGGTGCGGGGGGAGGGGTGAGGGGAGGTCGGGTATCGCTGTATTCCAACATAGAGCGCTAGAGCACAGAGGAGGAGGGATTGCCTACTTTGCGAGCTCTACTGGTGCTTAGGAACGTTTCGTAAACGAGGAGTATAGTTCCTTACCCTAGCCTTGTAGGGAAGGAACACCTTGGTGGGTGAGTCAATTGAGTCTTTAATCTCCCTTCATTTCAGCTTCATGCACACCTCCCTCATCCCGATGCTCCTCCTCCATAGGCCTAGGAGAAAACTACACCCTTTTTTTACTTGGAACCGTATCTAAACGCAGGTGAGGTTGGCTAACCCTCTTCTCTGCGTTTTAGTCTCAGTGCTGATGACATTCACCCCCTTCCTAAATTTTCACTACCACCAGTTTTGAAAGAATAGACAATAGGAGCTCATAATACAGCAATCCCATAATATATAGTTAGCCAAGAAGCCTTGGACGGCAAAAGCTTTTAGAACGGTTGCGACTTTTGCATGAAGGTTAAAGCCTTAAGACTTTGGCGTGGGATTGTGTAATGTATCGAGATAGTAGATGCACTTTGACAGGCTGATATGATTTGTTATGAGCAGATAATAGGCGTTTAACTGGAGAAGTGGAGTCCACTTCCTACTTCCACATCGTTTGTGAAGCCCTGCTGCTCCCGTGTGCGAGTAGAGTGTTACTGGACCTCTGGCGATTGTGGGTAAGGGATTGGAGAAGGAGATGGTAGTTGGTAAAGGCTGTTATAGTATTCTAGCTAGCTCTTATGGTACTTACGATGTAACCTCGACACTTTATTGTGTTTTACACGATAGGACGAAAGGGCTGGCAAAAGGTGATAGTGATAAGTGAAGTGATAAGGACCGTCTGAAGTCGGTACCATATAAGGAAAACAAAATTCGATTCATTCCTTGCTATAAGGTTACAGCCACGACATGAACGGTTGCCTCTTGAGCTGTTTCAAGCCTTTCCGAGATTCACAACTTTATCCAAGCTTACGTTTTGGCCTCTTCGCCTTCTTCAAAGCCTGAAAGCCAAAAACGAATTGAGATTGACCCTCATGTAGGCCTAGACAATACTAGAAACAGTCCTCTAAGCTAGTAGACCCCCCCCCCCCCCCCCCCCCCGCTAGCTTAGAGGACTGTTTTAAGTATTGTCTAGGCCTACGTGAGGGTCCATCTCAATTCGTTTTTCGGCTTCAGGCTCTGAAGAAGGCGAAGAGGCCGAAACGTAAGCTTGGATAAAGTTGTGAATCTCGGAAAGGCTTAAAACAGCTCAAGAGACAAGTTCAGCTATGCCAAGATTAAGAGAAAGTCGAAAATGGTTCATGAAGGGTTGCATTTCAGTAAGGAATCATCTCTTCTCGTTCTTCTATTAACAGCTGCAAGAAAAAACTCATCCGTCTGGGAATAATCTGTTTAACTTTTAAACAGTCAGTGGTTCATGTCCATGAATGCAGGAGGGGCCATTCATAAAGACCTCGGTGATATTAATTGATAACGTAAATACTATTGAATGATTTTGAGAATATTGAAAAAGAGAAGTTTGACAAATGTTGAGGAAGGCACTACTTGTTCTTAAAATACGAATGCCGGATCAGCAGATCATTTCGGGTTTGTCACAGAGAATCCGGCCTAGCCCAGCTTATTACCTGGTTATATAAAAGGGAGGATAGGATAGATTCCGAACGAAATTAGTTTAGAGGCCCCGACATGAAATTTCATTGCAAAAAAGGCGGCCATATGTGGGGCTGGTAGGACAGCTCGGATCAGAATCATTTGAAATTTCAAAGAATTAAAATCGCTGCAAGATTACGGAAAACAAAAACTCTTGGTGTTCACCATGAGCTGCAGGTTTGATAGCCTGACACAAATACGGCTAAACATGGTCAGGAGAATCGGGGAATCAACCGAAATGGCTAAATTCGGATCTTCTTGCTCGAACCATCATCTGGACTTTTTGGACTTTCCTATTCTCTTGTCTTAGCTCTATTTGGTGGATTCTTTGATGGCAGAGGCTTATAACACCGTAGTTATTAATAGTCTCGTGTTCAGTCCCCGAGTATGCCTTCATTCGAAATTCTTGGGAATTTAGAGAAGGCAGATTTAGAGGGAGAACGAAGTATTGTGTGATATAGAGCTTAATGTTCAAAAGATAATCAAAAGCCAGGCTTCCTCCAAGAATGGTCGCTTCTCGAATTGAAATTGTATGGCTGGCAGAGTAGTCAGTTGTTGAGGCATCAGTAGTGGACAAACAGCTTACCGCCGTTACATAAATCTGTTGGTTTGCAAAACTCGTCTGCGACCGTAATTCCAGGACTAGATGCTAAACAATTACCGCCTCGTCATGAATCAGGCACTACTTTTAGAGGAGTATTCGATTTACACAGCATTATTCTAGTTGTGCTGTCTTGTTAGCTGAGAAACTGATCAACAGCTTGAGTTGGTAACTCTCGCTGTTTATGAGTGGATTTTGGTCTAGAAAGTAAAGTTTAAGGCTCCGTTGATATCAAGCAGCGCTGTCTATCTATCAGACTATCTACATGACCCAAGTGAGTCATGTAATCCAAGTGAACAGCCGCAGAATCTTTGTGAGTATGGCGAAACTACACAGTACTTGGTCTATGTAAGCTTTATCCAATTTACTCCTCCTTAATCACTCTCCCTCAGTTGTGTGAGCATTATCACCTATTCCTCTCCAACCAGTCATAGATGCTCTACAGAACTACGCGAACTTGTACGTTAGGTATCATCAGTTGTTAACAGATCGTGCAAATGCGTAGATCTGAAGACATGCTTTATTAAGGCTCTACCTCTCTTTTCCCTCCATGCTGTTCTAACAAATATTCATTTTTGATTTTTTTTCGATTATTCATAGTCCTTGCGGATTTTACTGTATGCATTTCGAGCTGCAAAGGAACTGGAAGTTTTCAGTTGACATCAACATTTCTTAAGATTTCCTGACGCGTCTTCTGAACTCCCATAATCTTTACCTAGCTCCAGAGCTGCCCCNCCCCCCCCCCCCCCCCCCCCCCCCCAACCTCATTCCCCTTACTCCTTATTTACTTTTAGCACTGTGTCAAAGGTGTGACATCCAGCTAAAGTTAATGGAGACTAGTAAAAGAAGAGTAGCCAAAGTCTGTGGTAGAGAGAGAGCATTGGAATCGGCGAAGGCATGGACAAACTTAGCAATTTCGTTCTAAACCGTGCTAGTATACTTCAGAAGAGAAGGAAACATCGAAACGCTTGAGTGGGTGAAGTCAGAAAAAGACGCTGTGTGAAGTTAACCTTTACTTGAGAGCATCCTAGAGACCGATGAAAATGAAATGGGAATAGCGAGTGAGTAGAAGCCATTGGTTTGAAGAAAATGAAACTTCCAGGTGGGCGGGTATGAAATGAAAGATTCATTTGTCCTTAAGTCTTCCATTTGATCGTTTTCCTAATTAATCAATTGAACGTCTACATGCGAGTGCAAGGTGGAGGAAGAGCTCGGCAAGCACGCCTTCTATAACTTGAGGCTTGTTACAATGTTCATGAAATCATTGCAATCGATCATTCTATCGATTCTAACCCTCAAACGGTTCTTGAGCAAGCGGTCGATATTCAACTCTTTTTTTTTTTTGAATTTTGTTTTCCATGGAACTCTTTGAAAAACCACCTTAGTCTTGTTCAATACTGTTTTCATCTATCAGACCCGTTCTTTTGGTAGGTGGTGTTGAATTGCCGTTTTATACTACTATAGGTAGGGGTTATAGGGGTCAACATCTAGCTGAGCGGAGGTGGTCTAGTGCAAGTGGCGCACTATCTCACACGCATAGTCAGGGGTTTAGATCTCGGACCTTGATAGCCGCCTGGGCCAATCAAGTCTTTCTCTCCTCCGCGGTCGGTTAATTGGTGCCAGATTTATCTGGGAGGAAGAAAGCCCTGACATGTACATCGTCGAGCCACCGCAAGCTACTGTATGGGCCTCATACGCACTCATTCACTACGATTCTGAGTGGAAGTCGAGTCAGGGGCGCATCCCTCAGACGGGATTGATTAGCGCCGAAAACATCATCCTTGTCCTTTTAATAAAGATAACGCAGTTTCTTTTCATTTCCGTCGTTATTCCTTATTTGAATTTCGGACTTTGTTTTCCATCAGGTTGCTCTTTTATCGAGTCAGTATTTGCCGCTCAGCCACTGCTCAAGAAGGTGCTATCGGCAGAGTTAATTGATGCGGCATAGGATTGAGCCAAAGAGGGCGCTTAACGGCGAAAATTATCCTATTCATGGTAGCCCCTGGGAAGGCAGTGAGGAACTCCCCTTGAGAGCCTTACATCAACCTTCTTTTCGATATTCTCCATAGCTGTTTTTATACTGTAAATTTTCTTTTTGCTCCAATCCATCCAAGTACTCGAAAAAGATCATTTCGAACGAGACGAAGTAATTGATCCAGCATGACTGAGGTCGACTCTGTGATCCGTTTCCATAGTAATCCCCATTAGAGAACGAGTCAGTTTTGCCTAGGGCAAGGGGAAATATCAATAAGGACGCAGATGGTGCTGCATAGTGATTCTCGTGCTTCTTTTTCTTATACAGGCCATCATTACCTAGAATCGCTCTAATTATAAGGCGCATAAAGCGCAGTCAAACGGTTCATGGGTTGCTGTTGTCGAAGGCGTTTTCGGTTTTCGATTTTCAGTATTCTGTTGCAGAAACTTCACCTCTATTTTCTGTATACTCTTTTATCGATCGATTTCCAAATTTTCTGTAGTAGTCAAGTATTAGGTCATCTCAATTCATGATCTCGTAGCCTTCTTCGAGAAGCCACCAGTTGGATGCTCTGGCTGACAGAACCCCAGAGTTGATCAGTTACAACGATCATCACGCTTTTCATGTCTTTTATTATACAATCGCAGCAAAATAATGTTTCTATATTTATTTCTTGGAGACGCTAAAAATGTTCACATGGCGAAAGAAGTTTTGCAACAACCGGAAAATATACAAAAGTCTCAGAAGGATAGGGGTAGAAACCAGTCAATAAAAAGAAACAAATTGATCACGACACACCTAGATAGAATTAAAAGAATTACTAGTAAGGAAGAAAATGAGAATCGAAGAAATCTCTAAAATTTACTGTTTTTATTGGAGCATCTGCCCAAACACTAATTGATCCAAGTCGTTTTACTGGATTTTTTTTTTACCAAAACCCTGCTGTACCGCGTCACTTCGTTCGAGTTGCTATAAAAGATGTTTCCTGAGGATCTTTCCAAAAACGTTTCCGAGAATGGAGATAGTGCTCATACAACGGTAATCTGTTGAGCCCGAGAAAGGCACTTGTGTTTTTTTGTTTCTGGGTAGGATCTGACGATTTCTCACAGATTGATTAAAGAGATCCACTGGTCAAGCCGTAGCAGATTTTTTGGGCAAATGAACCATATAGAAAGATGTTTTGGAAATAAGTCTACAATCTCGTCCTCATACTCAGGAGCAGCTGCAGGGTCCGTAGAAGAGGAATTGGTTGAAAGGCTCTGTAAGAATTTTGAAACTGCTGTCTCAGATGTTCGACTTTACCCTTATTACTTGAAAACATCTTACTGAATGATTAAAGATTGATGACTGACTGCTGTCTCCAACGAAAACTGTGACTGGCTTTTGGTCTTTAATACAGGAACTGATAGATGGGTACAACCTGGAAGGATTATCTCAATCTTTCTTTGCGAATGTAAATGCTACTTGTTAATGCACCTTCCTATTATTATCTTTTTTTTTGGAAGCGCACCCGTTGTCATCAAAGCTGTTTGCAACTGTGTAGTTTCATGAAGCATTAGAATCACTAATTGTCCTTCATCACAAGAATCCCGAAGAATTTTCGCCATTTCGCAGTCATGCCAGCTTTTCCGGATCATTTGAGATGGAGCAGATTTAATTTTTGCAGAACCTTTTATGGAAGATGAATTTCTGTACACAAATGGGATTTCAACAAAAGAAGCTATGGAACGACTTGTCCAGATTGGACGAAAGGAAGTGGAGGGTTGGGATAAGCAGAAGTACTGTAAATTGAGTGAGCTTGAGCTCTAGCTTTTTTCTACTGAACTCCTTTTGTAGGAATCCTTTCAACTATGGGTGCTCTGTTGACAAAATACTGTGCCGAAATCTCTTTATTTTCTCAATAGTGTCGGCCGTCCTTCTTCTTATTGGAGCAGTCACCATGTGAGTTGTCCTGCGTGTTATTCTCATTCTTCAGTTCATGAGTTTGCAAGTTCGAACGTTACAGTATGACCTATTTGGAAGTACTATAAGCCTTTACTCCTTCTCTTCTTTTTCCACTGGGGCTTCTCCTCGTTTGAAATACTTGAAACACGCATTAGCACAAGTCCTTGAAAAATTGAAGATCAGTGATTAATGTCAAGAACTGGAGGATGGAGAAAGAACGGTTTTTACCTCTGAAAAAGTTAAATGACGTGAGGCGTTGTAATTCGAGGCTCGAAGAGGGTAAATGCGTTGATGAGAACTCCCGCAAAGCCCCCGCTTTGTAGAAAGACTCTCTGAGAGGCACCTAATGAATGCGAGACGTTGGTTGTCGTAGCGGTGCCAACTGTGTGACGAAGACTCGTTTTCCCCAATGGCAACCTTCAAATGGGTTGACTTCCTTTAACTTACGACAGATAAATCATCTACCGGGCTCGTTATGTGCTTTAATCTTTTTCGCCTGCAACTGACCATCGATGCTTCTTCGGGACGCATACGACGAAACTAATCTTGCAACTAGCTGTACCTGGGGCAAGCTGCAAAAGGAGGGCTTCAATCTACAGACTTCCAACGAAATGCTGTTAAGGAAGCGTGTGAACCTTTGCAAATCTTCTCGTTTGGAGCTTGGCATCTTGGACGAGTTGTTCCTCCGAGTGTAATGGTTAGAGAGCGGTCTTGTTTCTAAGCTTATGTCGCACTTATGACATGTGTAAGTGCAACGGTAAGCTGATTCTTGACGCACGACAACTGCTTTTGTGACTACCTCAATGGACAGACGGGAGGGTATCACGGTGGCGGTAAGTCTAAAGTACAAAGAGTGGGATAGCAGCTGTGAAGTGCATGCCATGAAATCTGGGAGCTGTGCTCGTAGCTCATTGAGGGACTCAAGCGCATACATTGAATGGAATCTCCAACTTCTGCTACAAAAACCTATCGTGCTTCTGCTTTTTGGAAGTGACATCGCTTATGCAGAAGGAAGTCCTTGTGAAATTGGGAGCATCGGCTTGTTGTTCAAAGATGGCAATCAACTGGCCTCTGGTTTAGATCGCATGTCTCCTGTTACATTCAATGCCGCTCGGGAACGTGGATGTTAGCTGATCAACCACCGGACCCTCAGCCAGATTCGGTTCCCCGGGTTTTCTCTCCATTGATCAGAAACAGCTTTAATTTCCTGTCGTTGAAACTTTAGAAAAGTCATTTGGACAAGACATCGAGGTTGATGGTTGCGGTATTCGATTTAAAGATACCTAATTATGCCCCCCCCCCCCCGCATTCGATTTCCATTCAGAATCATAGTGACGTATTGAATGCATATTCGGCCTATACAATGACTTGTGGTGGTCACCTGATGTACATGTCAGCGCTTTTTATCCACCCATGCAAATCTGGTACCAATTAAGCAACCCAGAAGAAGTGATACTCACGTAGATACCGATTCGAGAGTAAAGTCGAACATATGATCATAAGTGCGTGATAGTGCGGCACTTCTCGCTACACCACCTCCACTCGGCACGGGGATCGGGATTGTATTATCTAGTCAGCATACACAACCTAAGGTGGTGTATCACCACTCTATGTGCATACTGACAGTACCAGTGGTGTGTACCGCTCGGACCTAGGAGTGGCAGGACCGCGGCATTATATAAGCCGCTCCATCGGTGTGTATAGGAATGAGAAAACCGTCTGCGTTAGGTGCTTGAAAGATATATTTGTTGATGGTGAAATTGTGCTGAAGCTAGGGTTATTGAAAAGAAAGGTGACTAGTCAGGGCAGGAAGGTAGGTAGTAAATACCGTAAGATTTAGGCTGCATGATATTACAAACTTGACTTTGAGCATTTGCACGAGAGTTGATATTTTTTAGAATGCAGTATGACTTCTTTCAGTGAGAACCACTTATCCATCTCACTGTTGTTTCTCACAACGTTGCACCTGTTACTCCTCTTCACAGCTCACTATGTACAGTGGAAGTTGTGCTGGGCTTCTTTAGAAGAGAAGATGCGGAAGGCTACAAAAGCTCTGGATTATGTTTCCAATGTGAGTGATACTCAATGAGTGGTTCATGAAATATCTTGAGACGGTTACCCTTAGCAGGAGGACAGTCAGGTAGTTCGGGGTCGGCCATCCACCATTTATGCCTTTTCCACTATCCCATAACACCTGTCTCATTGAGATTATGCAAGGTGTGACAGCACTAGCTGTCAGTCCACCTTTCAGGCTTCGTGTTGTCAGCCACGGTAACGAATGAGGAACAGCAGCTCCTTTCATATCAGAGTACAGTTCGGGCGAATAGCTTTAGGCATAAAACGGTCACACTGGAATCAGAAATGAGAATCGATTCAGATTAGAAAACGCAAGATGATTACGCCTAACGATTTCTTCTCAAAGTCGTTGAATAGACTCTTTCACCTTCGACTTACCCCGCTGAGGTTGGCCTCGGCCGACGATCCACCATGTCTGTGGTTGTTCACTGATTGGTACGTGATTTTCCACATTTGCAGATCTCGTCCGGGCCCTTTCCCTACGCTCCACTGGGCGAGCCGTTATCGAGTGACATGCTGACGCAGGCAGTACTTCGTGATGGCCACGTGGTTGCTGTGCCGAGATTGCTACTCGTAGAGGGGGACGTGATTCTTCTGCGACCATCTCAGGTGATCAATATTCGTTGACTAGACGTGGAAAAAATGTGCTAGACTTATGGATCAGAAGAATTCATTGACATATTCGTCATATAAGGGTTACCACTGGAGAACGGTCAAATTAAATTAGCGAAGGGTTGGTTCGGAGAATGGATGGCTGATTTTTGACTAGCTCTTGCTCTGCTATCGAAACGGTTCAAAAGATGTTCAATGACTTCGAGTAGACTCTGGTAGAGCCCTTCGCTTCTTGGAACAAAAACACCGCTTCTTCCTGGCGCCTCAGATTTTTCCAGTGTTTTGTTTTCCAGTCGCCTTTTGCTTCAATCTTCGCCGCATATGTTTGTGGGTTGATCACTGCATTCGAACAAGATCTTTCTGAATGATCTGAGTCTAAACAAAACTCCGGAATTAGCTGACCAGCTAGCTGGCTGTTATTGCATGAAACAAAACGCAAACGCAGTTCTGCACATTGCCTACATACCTCTGCTTCATGATAACCAGTAGAAAAGGAGGGAGCTCAAATCTCAGCTCAGGTTTTTAGTAAGTTGTGGGAGCAGTACAAATATGTTCATCATTCGGGTTTGATCCCGTTTTATTTGACGTCCCATCATCATTTTTAGATAGGTTTATGGGTGCTTAACCTTAGTACGCCCATCTCATGCAACCTATTTTTACCTTTGAAACTTGATTCTTTCGGGGTTCTAGAACGTTTTTTTTTGTTCGTGAAAAGCTTTTTCTGTTGAGAGCATCCCCGCGTTGGACGCTTTTTGAAAATGGTTTTTTGCATGGGGTAGGGGCATGAGCACTGAGTTTAGAACTATGGTTAATTTCCGCTAAATGGCTTTCTGAATGCCAAAAGAAGAGTGAAAATGACTTTGTCAGATGTCGTTTTCATTCACCAAGCGTCGTTTGTTTCATTCATGGCGTCAACTGTCCCTCGGTAGAAGGCGCCCGTGGACTGTGCATTGAAAATAACATGAACGGTAACCAAAAAAAGGAGCTACATGTTGAGAAGTGCGGGGAAGTTTCATATATGCTCTCCACAGTTATGCTTCTAGAAGCGACGGATGGTGTGGTGGATAGCGATGTGGACTTCGAGTTGGGACGATTAGGGTGGGCTGATGGTTTGGATTCCCAAAACTGTGTTGTTTTTGCATTTTATGCTGCCACCTCCAGATTGGTTCCATATTACACCACGGCCAAACCAGTACCTGACTGGTCATGGTGAGGAAGTTGAAGGGTGGGAAAAAGGGGGAGGCGAGGGAGGATAAGGAGGTAACATGTACCATTCTAAAGTGAGAGACCGCGTAGCTTTGTCTTCCATACTAAGTCGCAATGGATTTGAAATTTGGATCGATCCGAAATCATGGAAAGGAATCTGGAATCTCTGGAAATCTGGAAGAAGTGATAGTAACTTAACTTGGAACTGATCAGCTCATCTGTTCATGGCTTGGTTTGATTGTTGTTTTATTTCGACCGAATTCCTTCAGAAATGATAAAATAATTTCGGTGATTTCACCGTTTTTTACCCCAGACATTGATGTCGCGCCGTTGAAGGGATTTCGTCCACTGTTCTGGTTGGTCATCTCCATTTCCTTCTCTACTCACGATCAGTTTTTTCTGCAGTCACCTCGACTTCAGCAATGTCCTTCTTGATCGCGTCGTGCCAGCCCTTCATAGCAGGACGCGGAGTTGGGGAACCCTTCATCTAGTCATTGATCTAGTACTCTGGTGCATGAATGATTTCCTTTAGGGTTGGGTTGACGCCTAGTAAAAGGCTGGAGTCGGGAGCTACAATGAATATGGGGATCCTATTGTCTTTGCATTGAGGAACGAGGTCGTAGACAGCTTCCATCGAACAGGAACCATATTATAGAACTTTGACCCCCATCACAGCACTTATGTAGTGTGAAATGAAGAGATCCCTTTATACTTCTGGGAGTGTGAAGCCTGGAAGCTCCTCCACTGATAGTGCTTCACACATTAAATTTTAACAACTTGTAGAGGTTACCGCTGGTCCTGATCACGACCGTGACCAGTTAGGTACTTGCTTTATCGCTAGTGCAATATGGAACCAACCTGGAGGTGGCAGCATAAAATGAAAAAACGGCAAAGCCTCGGGTATCCGAACCATCAACTCAGTCTAATCGTCCCAACTCGAGGTCCACATCGCTATCCACCACATCACCCGTCGCTTCTAGCAGCATAACTGTGGAGAGCATATATGAAACTTCCCAGCACTTTTCAACATGCGGCTCCCTTTTTTGGCTACTGTTCACGTTATTTTCAATGTGCAGTCCACTGGCGCTCTTTACTGTGCGGACAGTGGACGCCATGAATGAAACAAATGACGCTCAGTGGGTTAAAACGGCAATTTCTGGCAAATCATTTTCACTCTTTTTCTGGCATTCAGAAGGTCGTTCAGCGGAGATGGACCATAGCTCTAAATTCAGTGCACATGCGCTTACACCATGCAAGAAACCATTTTCAAAAAGCGTCCCTGGAAGACCTTCCTTGTATGTCCATGCTTTGTGTAGAAAGGATTGTCTGTGAGGATGTTCCATCCACTCCGGCTGAGTCGCCACCACTTCATCTGTTAACCCACTCCTTACCCTTGCCTATCTTTTCCTTGATCTGTGGTGTTACAAGATTGAACTTGAATGTTCTGTTCATACTCCCGCCACTTCGAGCATGTTCGCCCCTTCTCCCCGTGAGCGGAGCTCCGCCGAGCTCACATGTGCTCTGTAGAACTTATTTCCAACCCACCCAAACTTGACCCGATTCCTCCAGGTGCTTCTTTTAGTAATATCGAACTTCGTGACAATTAGATAGAATTGTAATAATACCTTTCTGTTACCTAGTCAATAGTAGTAACTTGATTGAAAATGAACTAATTGATAGACCTGGAAGGTGTTCGTATTTCAACGTAATAGGCTCAAAAATCCTGCTACTCTTTGAAAGTATTGCTTTTTTATTTGCTTCAGGCGGCGCCATGTAATTGCAAGCTATTGAACGGTGAAGTGGTGAAGATGGGCGCTTCTATCTCAGAGAAGGTAGAAGTCGACCAGGAGACAGGAGCAGCCATTCCTCTTGATGCAACTAAGGTAGCGACGGGAGACCGCCTCATTTATGAAGAATCTTCTCTACAGTGGCAACAATTCAGGCCATTGCTACATCGACGCCGTTGGCTGACCACTTGTCTTCGGTCAGCGCCAGCAGACGTTCTTTTACCACAATGGACTATCAGGTAGGCGCATTCATCCTGATGAGATTTACACTGAGCACGGACATAGCTTAGCGGTTCAAGGTTAATTATATCATGAACTCACTGATTACAATGTTTGCAGTTACACTATTGTCTACATAAGGTGGCAGAACGGACCCTTTTGCCAGTCATTGTTTTTATGGCTCTTTCATCTTGTGCCATGAGATTTTTCCTTGACGGCAGTCAATCGCTATTTTCAACGAGGTTGCAATTTCTGTCTGAAAGTCTATTATCTATTGTCTATTTAGCATGCGATGCTAGAGAATCTGACTAGGCCTGACCTATTCAGATTTGTATTTGCCATCCCGTCGCTCATCGTGTTGCCATTGACTGCTCCCACCTATTTTTTCATTTTGCGATTCGTGCAACAACGGTATGTTACGGATACTTTCGTTTCATTCATTGAACAACTGAAGGAAAATAGTTGTCAGTTCAGAGGCAACGCTGCGGTCTGCGATGTACTAAAGACAACCAGAGGTGAGAATGCGAATTTTTGAAGTTGTGTCGAACTGTTACAATAAAATTATTTTGGGGATATCAAATTATGCAACCAGCTCAAAAAACATTATTCGAAGTATTTTCTTCCGGGAGGTACGAGGAAATGATTCTCAGTTCTCTGACACGGACTGAACCCCCTCAAAGAAAAATGTTTTGTTCTTCGAACTGAGGCTTGAAACGGGAGAACTTCCCTTTGCATGTCTGTCAGATTTCGCTACACTGTTAAATCAACATGAGGATGGTGTTACCATGATTGGGAACGAAATTCTTTTAAATAAATCCTTTTTGAACGTGACAATCACAGCTTTTTAATCTACGCGGCATACTTTTTTCGATGAAGGTTCTCTATAAGTCTCCATCATTCTGCAATGTGTTCAGGCTCCGCTTTTACCCGAGCACTGTAGAAAGACATGTGAAAGGAGCCGAGGAACTGAATTGTTTGTTCGTATTTTAGGAGGAGATTCATGCATCTATACCTCACGGAGAGGATAGCGATCCATTCCTACTGTGAGCGTGTTTGAAACAATTTCAAGCCAACAGGCATATCCAATATGATCCGATTATAAACATCTTCATTATAAACAGTTCGCAATTTCTAGGGGTGAATTTGACTTTCCATCATCCTCTTTTATAACTCGTTGTTATTTGCATGTTCTCTTAGTCATAAGTGAGACCTTTTCCGTACACCACTTGCTTATCCTTTAGACGAGTGTAGTAAGGTCTTTCGATGGGTGATTGTCCAGTGCAACACCTCGATTCGCCTTCTCCCTCATTCCTAGAAGAATGATTGGCAACCAAACCCGACATCCGTCTGGGACTTGTTTGGCGGCTGAAAATTGAGAAGTACACCTCCTCTTCACAATTCCTTCCACCTGGTTACTTGCTCGGCCGTCTGCCTCTTCGATGAGATGAACAATGGGTTACTATCCCTGCGGTATGGATCCACGGCTCGTTCTCGTTGGAAGTTGTGTATATGTGACCCAAAAAGGAGTAGCGGTGTGTCAAATGGAAATCCATTCTATATCCTGCTCTCTGCTGTTTCTCAATGGAAGAAGCACAAGTTCTCTGAAGAATTCTGCGAAGTGGGACTATAAGTGCATGTAGGTAGTCTGGGATACGCTTTGAGCCAATGATGTTAACATAATTACGTAACCCTAGTTATCTGATGGAAATTTTGTGATAATCTGTATTCTTTCTGGAATGTTTGGAAACTTACGTACAAATATTATCAAGAACACTACTCTTTTGACCGTAACTGTAAATGTGACTTTCAAGGAAGTGCGCTTCGAGCATATGGAGTCGTTTGGCTAGTATCCTCCTGAATTCTAGGGCGAGGATAATTGGCTGTCTTATCTTCTTACGGCCCGAATCCAAAGGACTATTTTATATAGGGCTATCTCAAGCAGAATGTATGTGTTTCAGTTAGTCGAGTCTAGTTGGATGAAAAGACCGCTTCAGAGAGAATAGAAAAAAGTTGGTGTCAATCACCTGATACGCACTGCAGAAGCCTTCACTTCGAGATTGGAAGCTTGAATTGTGGCAGAAGACAACATTGAGCAATAGCTCACATAATTATTTCTGATCATGATGTTTAGCGAGCAATACATTTTCTTTAAAATAGTTTCAACCTTCAATTTTTGGTCGATTACTCACCGAATCGTTAATCGTAGCCACCCTGTATACCCAAATCACTAAAAATACTTTACAACGAAAAAGTAAGTTATAGGGCCAGGGCCGAAGACGCTGTGATTGGGCAAAACTGTTCCTAAAACGTAGATGGTGTAGTGGGACATAGTAGATATCGAGTTAGGTCTTTTGAAAAGAAATTGAGCCGGAATGGATACTATTTTTCAGCAAGTGCTGTAAAGGACTTCGTTTCACTGTTTGGAAATCTGACAGGGACCTCGTTTTTTGATCAGAAAGGACTGCTGTCTCCAATGAATCCTTGTCTCGATAAGGTCGTATTCTTTCGGCCCAGCGACGAAGGTCTGTTGTTTGAATTAGATTCTAGAATTTCTCAGTCTATAAGGAATAAAAGGGTAAAGTTTTGAATGTTTGAGGCCTATACAATGACTTGCGGCTGTTACCGATGTAGAAGTCAGCGTTTTTACCTCCCAGGCGGTCGTTACACTAACCTATTTCGGAGGGATGGAATACTTGGTTGGTCCAGGCCAGTATCGGCCCGCGATTGATTCATGGACCAGTGTGCCTCCTGCTATAGCACCCTCAACCCTTCTCAGCTCATAGTCCAATGTTTCGTGATATTGTCGATCTTCATGTAATATTACAGTTGCTTTTTTCAGAACAGTCAAAGGAGGCTCCTGCTCTCGAGATCATGGACCTGAGTTCAGAACAGCTCATCGATGGATCGTGGAGTGTTGATTTTGATGATCCCAATTGGTGAGAGTGAAGATATATGAACGAGTATGGTTGTTTGTCTCTTTTTTTGTGGAACAAGTTTGGAATGTCTTCTAATTTTTCCCGCGTTCGTAGTTCTATAAAAAGGCACCGGCATTTACTTGGTTAGGGATGAGGCCAGTGTGAATGCACTTTTTTATGCCCATAAATATTGTCCACGGTTTTGTATAACTACATTCTAAGCATTCCGTTGCCAGGTCTCGCTTCGAGTCGAATTTGCGTGCGATCGGCCAATGCCTTCTTCTGAACCGGTGCGATCCGAAATTCCCCACTTTTCTGGACCACCTGTCGGCCGTCGCAACCACAGTACCGCGTACCGTTGCTACCGCTTTCAGATGGTGTTCTTGCGTATTTCCACAGCTAATTGGGTACGTTGTCCTCAAAGTAATTTATCTGGAAATGTTCTAGTTCTTCTTTTATATGTAGGTTCAAGTCCAGTTCAGCCAATCAGTTCCAAAAGCTACAAAACGTGTTAGGATTTTACCAACGTCGACCCGGAGAAGCGCCCTTACCGGGGTCTGTTCACTATAGCTGCAGAAGTATCTTTCGATGAATACGCGATTCACTCAAACTAACGAATCAATGTATTTAGACTCACGAAACATCAGACTCCTCTGGAAATGGCCTACTGTACTGTACATGCAGATGACCGATCGCTATACTACCATCTTTCTTGTCAGGGAACTGCAAACCTTGTTCTGGAGGTTTGTGTTGCGGTTGCTTTCCCTACTGCGTCTAGAGGATAGTGCACGAGGAAAGCGAAAAGGGTTGAAAAACAAGCTCTCAACGTCCTCTTTGCATGTTTCTTCGTACTGAAAATTGGCCGATGGCTGTGAGTAGGAATACCGTTGACGAGTTACTGGAGGGCGCAGTGGAAAAGCGATGGGAGCCCACAACAGTAGCTTTGTGGACGGTTACTGTCTTGCTACTGCCGTCTACTGGATTCCAGCGAAAAGCTGGGCGTGCATACTTCGGTTTATACGCGTGGCTCGAGTAATATACTCGACGTGAACAATAGACGGACCTACATAAAATCCCATGCATACTTATGGTATGATCTTACGTTTATAGTTGAATGAGAGTTTCGCTGTGCAGACGCGAGCTGAGGAAAGCGACTGCTCTATCAGCGGTTACCGGATGAAAACCGCAGAGTTCAATGGGAATGTTGTAGCGATTTTGTTTCTTTTTTTTCGGCCTAGGGGGCATTGGAAGGTCATTTATTAGTTGAAAAGGTCCACGAGAGGGTAATTTTTGCTCGAACTCAAGCCATTACGGCAGTTGTTCTGTAGTCAATCTTGGAGCTGCAGTTAGTGATGTAATTAGTTCTCTTGAAGTGGACACTTCCAATCTTAGAAACTACGCTAGGCATTGAAGTTCGTTTCGAAAACAGGTTGTCTCGCACTCAAATAAAAAAGTTTGCAAAGAAAAACATTTGCTGTGAGATTTGCTCTGCTAAGTTGCGTATTTGAATGAACACTTGAACACAACTGTGAAAATGTTAAGGCTTGCTCTCATGTGTGGGACGGCGAACAACTAACACCCATCACGGAGCGGATTCTCAAAAGCGCCATAGACTTCTATCAGCGGCATTCTGTCACAGGGTGAATTCCAATTTTCTGCATTCCTCACCTCATTTGGTTTCTAAATGTTTTTCTCGAACAACAGAAACTTTGTAACGTTTTTGAAATTTGTTCTTCAGCTACTGCCTTGCTCTTTCCTACCGTGCAGTTGGAATGGTTCTAGATGAAACACTCAAGGATCGCTACTTCGAAGTCCCACTGCTTCATCGTCAATCGCGAAAGAGCTCTCTGGCGAGAACTCATAGCATAGGTCCTTGAATGTTCTGTAAATGTCCTTTTGGGTGTGTATCTATCATTTTCTCGACTTCCAGATAGTTCCCAAAATGACCCATTCTTCGACCAGACGCCTTTGAAGACAGCTGACGAGATTATTCAGCGATGGTTTACTGGGCACGTTCTTTGCGGAATGGTGGTCACCCAATATGAAGTTAGATGTCTTTGCTTGCTCTTGGTCTTGGACTACTCCTTATTCAGTGCAAGGCTCTACAGCTCTGGGAAATTTGATTTTTCTCATAGCAAACTCTCAGTTATTCTTTGTAGGTGGTGCCTCAGGCAGTACAGCTAATCGACCAGCTGGAAACCCTCTGCGTCCGATTCGTGTATTTCTCTCGCGAGAACGAAGTGAGAAGTCGGGTCTTTGCCGAGAAGCTTGGTGGGTATGACACCTACACAAGAGACACTTGCTCGATTGGTATGATTACGTTCAGGATTGGAAGCTGGTTGGAATTGCCATGTGTCCCTGGCTGAGGTGGACGCAGATGACAACCAGAGGACCTTGAAGGATTACTTCCTATCAAGAAGTGAGACGTTTGTTCCCGTTTTCTGGAAATATTTATATTACAAAGAGAGGTATTTTCATTGCTTTCAGTCAGCTTGCATTAACTTTCAGCTTTCCTCGGTTTGAGAAGTCCTGCAGCTGGGTCTCCAGTTCTGAAACATTATTCCAGGTATCGTCTTTGTAATCTAAGGTGTTATCGTCCATGTCGAGAACCTCGAGTTACAGGTCTGATGAGGAACTGCATCTGAACTCTCTGTTGGCCATCAATGCTCAAGGGTCTCCAACGGAGAAGAAGCCCAGTCAGCAACCTCCCACTAAGGTGGGATCGTTAGGATCTCCTTCGAGCCACCTATTTGATCATACTTAATACAGATGGTAGTGCTGCCGAACAAGGCATGTCTTCCGACAGGAATCGCAGCTGTTCGCCCCCATTTAGAACAGGTAGACAACGTGCCACTTCTGGTCGGTCTCATCACTGACTGCACCCCTGAAGCTAACCTTCAGATGTTGGAGATAATGCAGGTCAGCCTGGACTTCGAACAAACAGCGTTGCACTAGTTTCTTTATCAAGCTCTTCAGGAATACGGCGAAATGGTTCTAGCAGTCGGTTCATCTTTATCGATTGTGAATACCCGCGTCTTCCTTCAGGTAAAGGGATTTCACTTAGTTTTCTTATCCATAGTACCCTTATCTTCGGAATTCCAGGCGAATGTTTCCATAAGTGTTCTGCCGGTGGGAGACTGGCAGTGTTCCATGAGTTCTGAACCAAATTGGCAGACAGCCAAGAATGCAGCCGACAGACTTATGGGCATTGCTAGTGACTTCCAACTGAGATTCGAACAGGTTCGGGCTTAACCCTTTTTTAACATTTTGTGGAGATGCTTGTTCGTTCAGCTTCTTGCCCTTCCCAAGCTCATTGTCGCCTGTCGCCATCGCTGTGCTTCCGTCAGGGGATCGTTGGCTTTCCTTTTCTTCGCTTCCACAATGCTTTCCATTTCCCTGCTGGTCACAGCTATATCCTTTCTACCGCTGCTATTCGACTTTGAGCAGGTAAAATTTCTTGAAATTTATGTTTTTTATCAATAGGGTTCGATGAATTTCTATGTGCTTTTAACATAAACGCCAACTTGTGTCTCAGCTCAGATTCAGTTATTGGACGCCATGGCATGGAGCGCCTTGGTTTCGGTCGGCGGAACTGTTCTAAGGGTTTCCACAAGCCTTTAGAGAGGTTTCTGCCACTGCCAGCACTATATTCAATAATGCTACTGCCTTCTAAATTAACACCTTTCGCTGGATACATCCACTCCATACATCCACTGCTCACATGTTTTCATCAAAAATCACTAAATATACTTTGCAGTAGTTACGTTCCAGGTCTTTCTGACGACCTTCGTGCAGTTGCCGCTTCTCACCCTGGGTTCAGTTTTCACTCCGTTTCGTCCTAAATCAAACGTAATCCGAATTTCATCAAAGGTTTGAAGTGGTTCTCCATTATCATTGCATCGAAGCATGAGCTCACAATCCTTTCAGAATTCACGCACTGTTCCCCGTCAGCACGTCAAATGGGCTCTGCTCACATTCTTCGTCGGCTTCTTTCCTTCGTCCCTCTTTCTCGTTTTGATTTTCTTCCTCAAGGTAGGTTTTAAAACTACGCAAGCGTATTGTACTGCCATTCGAGATTTGAGTTTTTAATAGGATTCCTTTCATAAGTCTGACAGAGTGTATCCTCAATAGGTTGCTGGAGTATAAACGAACGCTAAATTTTCTTTACATTCTTTCAGACGTGACCGTTCTTAAGGCAAAAAAGAGCCTATGTGAAATGGGCTTTGGGGAGCACCAGCTCCTCTTTGTCTGTGTTGTCCTATTCTTTTACCCTGGTTTCTTTTTGGACAACGATTGAGTAGATTCTTCAAAGGCATGATTTTTGCTGCTTTGACAGCTAATATTGAGCGCTGGACGATGGTTCAGGTTGATTCAGCACTTAGACCAGTTTTTATACTATATTTGCGGTGAGAATGGCGTTGATTTTTTTGTTGGGAGTAATCTTTGACCCTTGAGGGCTGCATTTGAGATTGCCCCTTGGAAAGTTCTAGATATGACCCAAAAGCTGTTGCTAATTCTCACTGCGGTCTAAGGCTTTTGGTGGAGAGCATGCCATACAGCCTTTTTCGCCCATGGGAAACCCTCTCGCTAAGGGCAGCACGCTTCTGGTGAATGTAAACTAAAATATTGTCCAAGCACCCTTTCGTCACCATAATCTCTTAGAACCATGAAAAAGCTCAATGTCGACGACATATCACGGGGTTTGCACAGATGTAGTTGTTTTCATGATCACTTGTGTACTATTCTGCATCAACATTCTTGCCTTAATCCAGTCTTTGCACAGATATTATCACGTTGTTGTTGATTCCTGTGAAAGATAATGAGTGGAGTTTACCAAAACTCTGAGTTGTGAGGTGAATATCAGTGTCGAAGTTGGATGAAGCTTCGCATTTTGACAACCATCACAAACTTTCCCTTCAGTTCGATTACCATTCAAAAATTCATCCATTCGGGCCCTAGCTCTTTTTAAGAAATCTCCGTTTTCATTACAGCTGGTTCGCAACTCAACATTAGCCTGCTCATTCTCCGATGTCGTCTGCGCTGTTGCCACTGAGAAGGCCTCTGATGTTCCTCTGTCGACGATGGCTATACGTCATGTTATTGGACTTCATGTAAATACTTTTCTCGGTTTTGCTCTGCGTGCTAGTCAAATTATTCTCATAGCCGCTCACATATTTATTATATGTTGTTGATACATTGGATCTCAAAGTTTTTCTATGAAGCTTACTTTTCTTATTGGTAGTGAAGCCCGAGGTTGTGGTCGTGATCCCACTTTGAGCAACTGACTTAATTGGCTTCCATTAAAAATTGCGAGGTCATGGAAATGTTTCTTGTGAAATGCTTGACTTCTTAGATTTTCTCGACAGTCGGTAGTATTTTTCTTCTCCTAGACAGGTCTCATTTCCGGTACTGTAAACATGTGCAGCTTGTGGCAGTGTAGGTAGGACCCATCCGGGAAAATGGGGCAAAAGTATCTCCGTCATTTCGCTACCTAGCCATTGTTAATTGAACAGGGTCATGAAAGTCACTTCTTAGATTACTTATCTAGAATGTCCTCTTTTACGAGTGGAGGCGGTGTAGTGGCAAAGACCCACTTTCGCAGGCATAATCCGGGATCCAATTCCGGCTTTGCATAGACCAACCAAGCCTTCCCTCTCCCTGGAATCAGTTTATAGGTGTTAGGCTCGTCCGAGAAGATAAAGCCCGGCATGTACAATAGCTGGCCATCGCTGGCTATTGTATCGCTATAAGCCCCATGTGCAACCAGACCGCCACTACGATTTTTAGTGGAAGTCTTATGGGGGGAGGAAGGTGCATCACAAAACGGGATTCAACACCAGGAAATTTCAAAAGATTTTTATTCTCTGTTTCAAGTCTACATCCACTTTGTACACCCGGAAAATGAATTTCAATGCAAAGCGCTTTTGTTCAACATAAACCGTAATCTTTGACGGCTAAATTTGAAACTCATTCGTATGCCACTTCATAACCAAGTATCGGAGTGTTTAAAAGGTTTGTTCAGATGGTGTAGTCGAAAACTTGAGTTCCCTTTTGAATTTGCTCGGCTGCCATATTTTTTACAGTACTGCACAGCTAGAGCTGCAATGAGAAATTTTCATTTTCAGCAGTCTGTGTATCTTTGCGCACTATCGTCGGCATGGGTTTTCCCTCTAAGTTCTCTGTGGAACGACAACCCATTCTTCTGCCTCTCGTGGACTGCTTCCTGCTTACTGTGCCTCGTGCTTCAGGTACTCGCTTTCCGGTTTTCACATAGTTACGAAGGCGAGCATGGGTCAACACACGCCATCGCAATCGGTACCTCGAAATGAGGTCGCCGTACGCGCACTTTTCAGAACTAAAAGGTCCCCGTCGAGTAGCCGAAGTGAACCGCGGTGATGGCATGTCCTGTCCCTTACCTAATATCGCTTTCTTGTAACGTTACTGGCGTGTGTGCTCTTTGTTTAAAGTGAAAGAAGAGATCAGGGTTTTTTGTAGAGAGTTTAAAAGGTAAGCGTAGCCGAAAAGTCGTGAATAGGAAGTATTGTGATGTGGGTAGGCAGGTTGGACGTCAATCAACGCTGGAAAAGCTCGGATAGGGCAAGGGGGGGGGGAGGGGCAGGATTAAGAAGGGTTGCAAAATGGGTTAGGCCCACAAATGACCGTTTACTCATTGGACGGGAGACTGTTTCAGTACGGTAAAGGGGCTACAAATGTCTGAAATGTTATAGCGGTATTAGATAGTTTAATGATCTATGTAAAACGATTTTTCCTTGTGACTCCTTCACTTTTGTACACCTTCAGAAGACTCTGGTAAGACTGTGATCATTCTTTCGATAAATCACTTAAGGGTGCCTGTTAATAGAAATCCCTACAGCGACTCATTTTCACTTGGATCCGCTATAGTTGAGCTGTTTTCTTATTGTTTGATGCCTTAGGGGAAGTATTAGAGGGAAATTAAAGTTCACAGTAAAGGTTAGGAACAACTTTGTTTGAATATACGGTGATTGTTGAAATAATCATTTATAGAAAACGTTTTTCTTTGAAGCTTGTTATTGAGATTGCATCCAAGGAACCATTACCTGCACTGCACCCTGTACAATCTGTACTGAAGGGCTCCAACGTTTATGATGCACCTAGAATGCATAGAGAATAAATGAATGAGTTCAATTATTTAAGGTTGTGTTCTCGTATGCCTCTGGAGTATTCCTTCATGAAGTGCTATCTGTCATTTCTGTGATCGTGTTACTGGCTTGGACCTCAGTGATATTGTTAGTAAATGAGTTGGTCAAGAGACGTTCAATCCGCGATTTCACCAGAGAACAGCGACGGACGAAACTCGGCTTTGATACGAAACTTGGAATGAATTCGCCCTACTAGGATCGTTCGCTGTTCTTTCGCTGCTCTGCCTCTTTCCTTTTATTCTACACTCTTCCAGCTTTACGAGTTGTTCACTTGAGTAAGCGATATCCCTGAATCAGATCTCCAAGAATTGATAACTAGTCCTCGATTGTTGTTATTTGTTACATCTGTCTCATTTGTTGGTTTATATTTGAAGTAGGTTTTGATGGCGAACTGATAATTGATGTCACGGTCATGAAGTTTTACGGTTTTATATGGTTGGCCAGATATACTTCATGTATCGCACGCAGATACTCCAAGCTTCTGGAGTTCAATGAGCGATCGTTGATCCACAAATTCACAATACAACTTACCTCTAAGCAAACCGTCTAAAATTTGTTGTCCTCATTGGCGACACTAGCGCTGTCGTTGAGAACCTGCTTCATATGTACAGTCAGTAATTGTCTGGAAAGTCTTCAATAAGCAGCTCGTTCAAAATCAGTGCCATTCGTACTCACCAAGGGTCGTCATAGGGTAGCATACCATATGTAAACGTAAGATGAGATTTACCTGTTTCGAGAATTGCGAAGTGTAGTCGTATATTGAAGGGATATTTGGTAGGAGGTGCACTCCCTTTAGTGACATGAACAGTTACGCCAAAATCAAGGCACTCTATGCCATAACGTCGGAATGCGCAGCCCAAGCTTCAGCTAAATTTAGATTTACATCAAAGCACACAGAAATTCATCAGACGCTGGATGAAAATCATAATTTCCAAGAAATTCACCTGTTCAAAATCGAAGAGCAGAGATAGAAAGGATGTAGTTGTGACCAGAAGGGAAACTGAAAACATTGTAGAGGGCGAAGAGAAGGAAAGCCAGGAGTCCCCTAACGGAAAAACTGCGGTGGTGACAGGCGACAATGAGCTTGGGAAGAGCAAGAAGCTGAAAGCAAAAGCACCTCCAAGTAATGTTAAAAAAAGGTTGAGCCCGAACGTGTTCGAATCTCAACTGGATTTCACTAGCAATGCCCATGAGACTTTCGGCTGCATTCTTGGCTGTTTGCCAATTTGGTTCAGAACTCATGGAACACTGTCAGTCTCCCACCGGCAGAACACTTATTGAAACATTCGCCTGGGATTCCCAAGGTAAAGATACTATGGATAAGGAAACTAAGTAAAACTCCTTTAGAGGAAGACTCTGGAGGAAAAGGCAGGTATTCACATTCACTCACTGAGCGTTACTATATACGCACCATAACGTCGTTGTAATGAAGGCCAACAGTTTTGCGATGGTAGATCGTTCTTAATAAATATATTCCAACCTCTAATAGTCTTATGAGAAGATAAAAGAAGATAATCCTCATGCACGGTATCAAAAAACAGCATCTTTTGATGCTGTTTCTTTGAACTGTAGAATATATATAGGAGAGCGTATTGAGGCACTCGTCTTATT